CATCGAAGGTTGAAAAGAGACTGAATTCACCCTGAAACAACAGTAGCGATTGGCAATAACTTCACGCATAGTTCTCTTCGGAAAGATGATCCAATAGCGCTGAGCTAATAAATTTTGGGAAGTTTGGATACCTGCCCAGATAGCACACACTCGCCTAAGGTCATCCTCAATGTGTCGCCAAACGCCTGGAGAGGACGTTCTATTTTCTACAACCTAAGAACATCATCAGGCGTAAATTTAGCGCTGTAATTGTCCTAAATGAGTTCTTTCAGTGACAGCCTGAGGATGTGAAGAATTTCGTGCCTACGGACGTCTTCAGATGACATTCCGTGAAATAACGTGTCAACGAAGACAGAAGGAAGAAGAAGAAGAACTAGAATTGAGGTTATGTTTTATGATAGTCATGATTTGTTCAAGATACATCATAATATATTAATTATTATATCAAAATTATTAGAGTATTCATTGAATACCTTCATCAAATTTCTATTTCACGAAATGATTGTGAGAAGAACTCATTGCACAGAATTAAAAGATAACAATAACAAAAGGATGATAATCTCTGTTGATGACATTTCTCTCAGGTAGCAAGAAACAATGGTGAGTAAATACTAAATAGAAACATTGATAGTACCGGACATAAAATATTGATACATTTATATACATTATTTATTGTTTCAGGAGGTTATTGAGAACACAAACTTGATGATATCATCATAGCAAACATGTTTTATTCCAAGATAGCTTTGCTTCTTCGGAATCTATAAAATATTGTATGGAAGCTTGAACTTTCAGTATGAATTCAATAAAGGTAGGTACCTGAATCAAATCATTGATATAGTAGGTACTGGACATGAAATGTTAATAGGTTAATTATTTGTTTCAGATGAAGTTATTGAGAACACAAGATTGATGATGTCATCAGAGCAGAGATGTTTCATTCCAAGATATTTTGGCTTCTTCGAAAATCTATGTGAGATTGCGTATGCATGTTTGCACTTTCAGTATATTCAATAAAGGTAGGTACCTAAATCAAATCATTGATATAGTATAGGGACTGGAACATGAAATATTAATAGGTACATTATTTGTTTCAGGAGGTTATTGATAACACAAAATGATGATATCATCAGAGCAGAGATATTTTGGCTTCTTTGGAAATTATGAAAGATTGTACATATGCAGACTTGAACTTTCATTAGATTCAATAATGGTTGGTACCTATAACTACATAAATCATATCATTGATAGTAAGTACTGGACAGGAAATATCAATACATTGTTTGTTTCAGAAGGTTATGCAAAACACAAACCTGATGATATTTTCATTCCAAGATAGTTTTGCTTCTTCAGAATCTATAAAATATTGCATGAAGGCTTCAACTTCCAGTTGATTATTCTGCATCAGGAATGTCCAGAGTTCAGAAATCAAAAACAACATGGAGAAATATAACTATCAATAGGCAATAACTTCTAGTAGTGCTCAACAAGAAGCTGAAATACATTTCTTTGAAAAGGAAATTGAAATTTTCCAGAATAAGTTATATAAATAATAGAATGTAAGTTTTTCATTTGGTTTTTCATTTGAACCTATTATAAATAGAGGGAAATTTTGCAAATATCATGAGATCCATATAATTTTGAAGAAATTATCATTTGCATAATACAAGGTGAGTCAATAGTGTGTTATCCTTTTTGTATATTAGCCAAACCATCAGATAAATAGAGAAAATCCAAGTACAACAGTAATAGGGTTTCATGAGAACTTTCACATTAAATTGTTTTCATATATATCTGTAGGGTGTTCGAATTCCAAGATATATTGACTGATGATTGTTTTTTTCCAAATGGGACACCCTGTATACTATTGCATTTTTAGGTTCTCCCTGAAGAGCTGATTCCATCAATGTATCACACTTGGGGTCTAGCGGGAATGATTACAGAGATATAGGGTGTTCAAAAACAAGATTTTTCAATTTTAGGATTTTTTTTGTGGAAACTATTCTATATTGGTCAAAACGGCTCACATATCCTTATAAACTTTCGATTTACTATCTACTGACATTCAATCGGAACAAATAGAGGGTGGGTTGACATTCAGAATACTGATCAGCTTATTGTATCTGTTCCAAATAAATATCAGTAGATAGCTAATCAAAAGTTGTGACAGGAACATGTGAGCCGTTTTCACCATTAATGAATAGTTTCGACACAAAAAATCCTACATTTGAAGAATCTCAATTATTGTCAACACCCTATATCTCTGTAATAATTCCCACTAGACACCAAGTGTGATGCATTGATGAAATCAACTCTTCAAGGAAAACTCAAAAATGCAATAATATACAAGGTGTTCCATTGAAAAAAACCAATCATCAACCGATATCTTGGAATTCGAACACCCTATACATATGAAAACAACTTTAGGTGATTGTTCTTATGAAACCCTATTACTGTTGTACTTGAATTCTCATTTTATATATCTGACGGTTTGGCTAATATCGGAGGAGAACACACTATAGTGACTCATTCTGTGTACGAATAATATCCTCCCATAAATCTTGAACCTCCTTGAAACATCATCAAAAACTGCCTCAAGTTGTTACCATGATGTCCTGAGGTTGTCTCAAAAGATTTTATAGGGATGTTCTGAGACGTTATTAGTATGTAGAGAATGGTAACAGGAGGACGTCTTGAGAATGTCCTCAGGCTCGCTCTCGACGTCCTGAGGACATGATTGTGAACGCCTCAGAAGGGCCTCAAAAGGAATTTGTGCTATCTGGGCTATAACTACACTTTTGACTTTGCACATAAAAAATGAGGAAGCATATTATCTTTCATTTCTGTCTTATTATCTGAGAATTATGACACTTCCATACCCCCTTTCGAAGGCATCACAGAAGCCAGGGATTTCGAATGTCATAACGGGGAGAGATGTGAAATATCTGGGGATTTGGAGCTGAGTATTCAGCCGATCCCAGTCGTTCATAATAGCTTCTGGTGGTTTTGAGGCCCAGTCGAGACCTAAGGTCATTTTCAAAGAGATTGTTGAAGGTGTTAGAAAACCGAGAGGGTCAAAGACCCTAGCGAGTTCTGATAGAAGTGTGCGTTTCGTACATTGAGCGATGATAGATAGGGTTCACCTAATAAGAGAACGAATGATGAGAAAGATTCCACTGCAGGCCGATAATTTTTACAGTAGATTCATTTTCACTATCGAATTATATTTTTTGTTGAGAGTTTATCGTGCGGTTATTATCATTATTCGAACAATGATAATTACACACAAAGTTTCTGATTCTCTCTCAATTATTGGGTTCACGCGTCTCTCGTTTTCTAACTTGTCACCTGATCTCTCGGCCCCTCCACTTCGGCCCTTGGTCATTTCTTTCCTCCGCTACAGCTGTGTTTGGCGAAAGCGAGAAATAACTTGGTTCTGATAAAACGCGCAAATTTATATTCAAGATTTGTAAACGAATATTTATGCAAATATTGGCAATCGGCAATTCAAAGTAACAGAACACTTAGAGATCTGAGGAATTCAATTATTCTTGACTAGCGAAACTTTTACCTGACGGTAAACCCTGCTGAACATCATCAAAACCCTGAACACTTGAATATTATTCCACCCTTGGCTTCATGATGTGTCATACCTTCCTTGTCATTGAATATTGTCGAGTGAAATGATTTACATAAGCAACGGTAGTAGATTATGTTTCTGTGCACATTCAGGGTTGAAGATTATTTTTTTTCGGCGTTTCTGAGATTGAGGTACACATGTGCTTTCCAAGAGGTCGTGGCCATGACAAGTTTGGGGTTCAACCAATCAGAATCGAAGATTCAGCTATTCTTGCACCAACGCTGATGTGACTTATGAATACTGAGGACAGCTAAGGAATCGCTCTCTTCTCTTGCCGGCTCTCTTCTGATTTCTACAAGCACTCTTGATTTTTGCTGCTAGTGCTACCACTGTAAAGTTTCATTGTATAGTGATTTTGTGTAGCACATGTGAGTTAGTACATGATTTCCACCTTTATTCGCCGTACATGGATCTAAATTTCATTCATGGTGTTTTCATATACCCGAACCCGACATGTTGAACGAATCCATGAAGTTGTATTTTCGAAATAAACGTTTTGTGTGTTCGCATATCCTATTTATTTTTGCATCTGTTGTCATTGTCTTCATTTCCACTAATTCAGTCAATTATTTCCATTTGTTAAATTGTTCGATTTATCTATTCATGATTTATTCATTATTGCCTAACGAGTGTGATGACGACTGACATAATATACATAGTTGTAATTTCTTCTCCTTGTTCTTCTTGAGATCTTGAGTATTTCTGTCCCGTGCTACAGTGTTCCTGTGCTCGGTATTCTGTCAGTCTGTGATTCATAAAAATTTTACTTTGATTGAAAAAGACGATCAACCTCACGTGAATCTCGATATTGCGAGATTGAGAGATTCAGAATATTGAACGAAAATGAATAGGAATAGAACCTGTTTCCGTATATTGGACCGTATTTCTAAGCATCCTAGTAAACCAGATGGAATAGTTTGAATAATAAGCAACCAGTATTTTAGGCTCAACCCAGGGTTTGTGATTGAAGTCTGCACCCATTTTGCTTCTTGATTCCAGGTGGATTCAATAATATCGACCCCTCATTTACTATATTATTTTATTGCTACCGAGGTAAATTGATCACCTCCTGTAGCTCTCTCCACTGCTGTTACCCAGGCCTGGTGAAGTTGTCAGTCTGAAGAAGTGAGTAGTGATTTCCCTTCAAGGAAAATCTGGCGTCCAGGAAATCCGAAATGAATACCAGTAGTCTTTGTCCGAACAGCGCCAAAGTTTGAGGGTTACTGAATAAAGCACCACAGATTCCACACCCTTACATTTTTCAAGCAAAATACGCCTGATAGTGGGTTGACGAAAGACGATTTCAGGTATTCGACTTTCACCAGGTAGTATATGGTATGACATTCTGAAGTGATACAACTTCAATAAAAGCCTTCCCAATTTATTCACAATAGGATAAAAATATAAAAGCACAAAAATATCATCAACGTTCTGAATAACAATAATCAATAACCAGAATAGATGTAGATTCTCCTCAGTTACTAATATCTAATGGGAGTCCAGGTCCCGGCATGTTCGTCTCTCCTGTAGTAATGAGGCCGGTTGTCCCTGAAGACAGTTACTGCTGGAAACTGGTTTTCTTGGATATATCTCAATGTTGCTCGCACCTGGAAAAAGCAAAAAGTTCTAGAATGTAAAAAGGATTTTCGTCTGCAACAACTGACTTCCAATGACTTCCAATTTACTGAATGCTGGTTGCATTTGTTATCAAATCGATTGGAATAATTTATCGATACACCTCATGACGAAATACTAGAGAGCGGGTCCTAATATTGTGCGATTACTTACTGAGATTTTCTGAGGGCTTTCGTGATAAAAAATATTTCTCGTAATACTCTTCAATATCATGTTGAAAAATGGGTTTCATCGAAACGGCTTGAGAATTACAAGGATAGTTGAATTCCTGTCTGAATAATTTTTTTTTCGACTCAACTCTCAGAAGTAGAAGTTAGAATTCAAATAGTGATTTCAGGAACTTCATAACTCATTTAGTCGTGGTGCAACTTGTGAATGGAGCATAACATAGTATCGAATGGAGAATTGTCCTCAGTATACGAATAAGACACTATAATATGGAGTCAATGAACGATTTGGGACTCAATAGCGTTCTCCTAGCAGGAGGAAACCAAGTGATTTGAGAGTAATTGATTCTAGTACCCTCTCAAAAAATTGAATTTTCACCTGAGTGGAATAAACTACGTACCACTTTACTGTGATAAGCTATAACTCGAACATTTCTTGGCCGATGTTTGATTTTCAATCATTGAATTTTCATTTTGGATAAAAAGTTATTGCATGAACAAAAAATTTGAAGATGACAATTTTAGATTTCTAGTCAAAATCACACATTTCTCATAGTAAAACAGGCCATATAATCCCAATATTGGAATCAGATATAGGTCACTTATGTTCGTGTTCTGTTTGTGAAACTGTATTCGTAATCATCGTACAAGTAATTATATATCTTTCCTGTGCAAGATGATTCTTCTTGATATTTACTGAGACAATGAACATACTATTCAAATTCGCAATCACTGTTCCCAGACCTCGAACATTTGAATCGGTACCGTTCGGTGTTCGAACCTCTAACCAAACCTCACGATTTCGGACCTCGTGTTCTGTGTCTGGCATCAGTGTACAATGTAAGACGTCTTGAAGACGTCTGTATAAGAAGTCTTTGTGCTGTCTGGGTTACTCCTCAACGTGTTATTCCAAACACCCTCTTGGGATATCAGAAAATCAACTACAGTCGTTTGGATTTGAAGCCACGGCCTGCCAGCCATCGCGATTGGGAAACTGAACGCTTTTATCACGCGGCTACCTCTGGCTCCCTATGATATGGTATAGTTGAATATGTTCGAAATTTTCTAACCTATCAACCCCTTTTAGATATACATCGGTGAACCCAATACCCTGTAAATTGGTAAAACGCCCAACCATGCATCGCGTTCACGAACATTATATTATCATTAAGTATATGAGTTGTGGGAAAAACAATTTTAACATTTGCCAACCATAATAATATTTGAAGGAAATTGAAGTTCCAATTACATTTTCTATGTTGATATGTAGAAAATATAGAGATGAAACTTGAAGGTTGTAGCCAAACTCACGAAATTTTGAAAAATATTATGGAAATTCAATCTTATAAAAAATTATTCATGAGGGCTCACAAGGCACAGCAGCTTTTTGACTGGCGAGTAATGGTAGTTAATTCTGACTATTGAATGACGAAGGGCGCCACCTGATTTGATGTAGACAAAACCAAGAAAGTTATAGTGAAATTCAGTCTAGCTTTCTGATGAAGAAATTGAAGAAAAAACACTGTGTGAACTCATATATTGTTTAATGAGGATGAAATTGAGTTCTCAATCATTACAAGGTAGATGTTGTCTAAGTAATGTGGTAGAATTCAAAATTTTCTCAGTAAAAATTACTATTTATGACCTGAGTATTTCTGAACCCTAAAAATCCTTTTTATAGTACTATAAACCGGATGCACATAGTATTATTATGCTTAAATCATAAAATGAGCATTTAGCAACCTATTAAATATCATAAAAAAAATAATAGTGAAAAATACAAAACCTTGAGACATCCTCAAGAAAAAATAATGATCAATTCCATAGTAAGTATATCGACTTGAATTTTTTGGTGGCTTTCTCACTCAGACCACAGGCTAGTAGGGCTACTAGCAGGGTGGCATCATGGTGGTGTTCTCAGCCTGTTTGGACAGCCTCTGCAATTGCCAGTCCCCAGAAGAGAGATGGCCCCTTTCTGATGAAATCTAGCCGGTGAGGTCCAGGTCCCAGCCAGCAAGAGGCAGCTTCCAAGTGATGACACTGCGAAGCCTGGTGACACAGTGAAGACTGAGGGGCCAGCAAGGACTGATGACCCAGCACAGACAGATAAGCCTGTGCAGACCGAAGGGGCAGGACAGCCTGACAATCCTGTACAGACTGAAGAGGCAGGGAACCCTGACAATCCTGCACAGACTGAAGAGGCAGGTGAGCCTGACGATTCTGTGCAGACTGCAGATCCAGTGAAGCCTGACGAACCGGCGTCGTTTGAAGAGCCTGCAGGGCCTGAGATGCCTGTAGAGACGAAAGGGCCTGGGAGGACTGTAGAGACGAAAGAGCCTGAGATGCCTGCAGAGACGAGAGAGCCTGCGACTTCTGATGGGGCTTCATATAGCTTCGTGCTCCAGAAATAGAATCTCTCAGTCGAGAGACTAAAATGTCCGCGTGGTCGACACGGGGTACCAAGGTACATCAGATCTATCGGAATAGATCCAAATAAATAACCACCCAGCAAACATCGAAAGGCGGTAGAAAATCGGGCCCATGGCGAGAACGGCGGGCAAATGTCGATGTCAGCATGCCTCGAAAAAGGCCCTCCTCCTAATTTCGAAGGATTATGTGACGAAAGCAGAATGTAGACATACTTATGAAAGGCCTCTGTTTCCCAGCCGCTTGTCTTCCGCTGTATATATCCAAGTCCAAGGGCCATCAAAATTTCAACGGAGTGTGCCATCATCACTCACTCAACGTTGGCATCCCTCGCTCGCATGAGTTTTTATCTTGACCATTTTGCAGTGGTTACAATGATTCAGTATGGCGTATATTAATTTCTTTGTTTATGTTGTTTCAATACTCTCAACAGAGATTTCAGTACTGTGTTCAGTTCGTGTTTGGTTTTCTAGTGGATCTTTATACATAATGAAAGGGAATTGAAATAAGTACAGAGTGAGTGAGGAACAAAAATATATACAAACTTGTACAGCTAAAGAATTCTCCTATTTTAGATAATAATTTCACAAACACCATTGGACAAACAGATGCAATAATATAGTTTGGACATGTTCAGCGGATACACACGAATATAATAATATATGACTTTACATGCATGAACTTTCATTACATATGAATCATGAATCTATTTCCGAAATGGAAATCAAAAAGTACCTACTTGAAGAAACAGTTATATTTCAAGAATTACTGTAGGTATGTATAAGGTTGCATGTTTTGGATTAGTAGAGAATGAAATCATTCGAACTTTCAGCTACAAAATCAACAACCAGAAGCCCACCAATCACAGATATTAATGAAGAAATTACACAATGATCCAGACTATGATATAAATTTCTTCATGGTACATGATATCTCACTTCCAGGCAACAATCATATCAATATGATAAAGAGCAAGGTTCTCCATATCTGGGAATTGTTTTCTCGTGAATTGAACTCTATTGTTGACAATAACTTGATCAATATAATAACTGATTACCTACATAACTTTCAAGTTATTTGGTAGTTACATAGGTGATGTAATTTTTGACCTAGAGTTAGCAACTTCTCAAACAAGTGGAGAAACAAATATCTATCCTGCATGATGGAACATGAATACCTATTATTGGAAATTGTAGGTACCTTCTCATAATGAGTATACAGAGTGATACGTTAAACTAGAATTAAGATGTTTGATGTTTCCATAGTTGTGATATCGGCCCAGAAAAACTACTCTATCAGGGGAATAAAAATACTCAAGCGGCCAATTAATGGCAGTCTCTGAAAAGTCACAAGCGGGCCGAAGATATGCCATGAATGCAGTACATTTGGGTACTTGCTTCTGCCCACCAGAAGCCCTGCAATATAATAAGCGACATACTGCTGGCTCTAGAGAGACGGTCGGCTGTCGGCCGCCGGGACACGGGCTAGCCGGCCCAATTTAGTTGTAAAATACAGGACCTCTGTTACCGCTCGCCGGCAAGTTTCATTGTACCTTTAGAGGGCCGCAAAAATCATGTTTGCTGGGCAGCCTCACATAATAAAAGGAATTTACCACTAGATTCTTCAATGTTCAACAACTTACCCCAAGAAGGAAAGGCCTCACTTTTAGAAAAGTTCACCAAGAAATAATGAGCGATGCCCATCTTGCCGAGAATATATGTCGAAGTGGCGTCTCGACACTTTGGGAGGGATAGCCTCCTGCGCCTTTTCAGAACTTTACATCCCAAAAACAGTATAAAAAACAGGAAACAACCCATATGCAAACTCTGCGCCCTAGAGGAAATACAGGATGGCCTTAAGCGCCCTACATGTGACTAAAATACTGACTTGTGATTCGCCCAGGATGAAATGACAGCTACGAAACAAACGAGCATCCACGACTTCTTTCGACTAGGATTCCACAGGGCCAGAATGAACAGATGCGACACGGCCTTGACAAATACACGGAACACTGCTCTTTGCCTTCCAAATAGATGAGTAGCGCCAGTACCCTGAAAGTCATAAAACTATCCTGGCTGCAGTAATTCACTTCACCTCCCAACTGTTCGGTGCAGGTGAGGTGTAGGTCAGGTGCAGGTACTCTTGCCCCCATCATTCGACAATCAGCAATCAACTTGTTGAAAACGTCTAATGACATTCCTACATTTCAATGACAGCTCAACAATAGTAAACAAAACAATTATCATTGAAATTACTTATTTCAGTATAAGGAACACCAAATATCAAATATGGTAAAAAAAGGGAATATACCATCTGAATAATGCACAGAGGCCAAACATCCAAAGTCAACGTCTTGGAAGTAATCCCTGAGGCACGAG